ATCAAGTGGTCACAGTGGACAGTGGTGGGAGTCTGGACGCGGTCCATGCCAGCGGACATGAACTGGAGAATAGCCATCTGGGCGGTGGCATCCTGGCAAGCAACACGGTCGGGGCGCAGCTTGAGGTAAGAGACACCGCGCTCGATGTCCTGGCCGTGGGGGTCGTCAAGGTGAGAGTACAGAACCTTCTCGGAGAAAGTGAGAGGGCGCTGCAGACGAGAACGGACGACGTCGAGGTTCTCGGACATCTTCTTGTAGTTGATGTAGTGACCCTGAGATGTAATACGTTAGTCGCTATTGCTTGGAATCGCGCTCCACGCCCCGGTTCTCGGGCGTTAGATTGGCAGCCACTCACAGTTTCGTGGTTGGTCATCTCGACCTTCTTGTCGAGGGGGTTGGCGGTAGCGAAGGCCCGAGTTCCGGTAACCTATACATTGAAAAGTCAGCAACTGCAGGTCTCAAGCTACGCCTGAGCTATCATGCACGCCGGCAAATGTGCAACGCCACGTGTAGATGGAGCTTGGCAATGAGGTCACTGCTTACAAGACGGAACTTGGGGGCCTAAAGTCGAAAGACAAGTCAGTTTTCCGTTCATCAAGAATCAGACTGGCACTCGACTCGAGCGCCATGTCGTTGGAAAAACGAGCCGAAGGAGAACGTACCAGCGCACCAGCGCGCGCGAGGCGGGTGGAGATCATGATGGAAGCTCTATGAGATGGGATTGCACATCCAAGAGCTAGTAAACCACCTTCACCAAAGTATGAGAGTGGAGAGTAGAATGAGAGAGGAAAATATCAAAAAGGAAGAAGAGGACGAAAGCTTGGTTTTGAGTGGGAGAAAGATTCTACGGGGACCGGGAGTAGAGCCGTAACCGCTGTTACCACGGCGATACAATACGCTGGTATTGGACTAAGCCTGCCGCATGCGACGGCAAGAAGGCTGGGCAATTTGATAGACGCTGCTTATGGCTTGGAATTCTGAATTTACTTTGATAGTTATTAGGATCGATGATAGGTTTCACTCAGGATATACACCCGATTCTTTTTCTATCCATCCTTCTCTTCCCATGTGAACCTTCAATATTCAACATCTGTGGCCTTTTCTGTGTTCGCCTTGGATGTACCGGTAACGTAATGGCGATACAAGGCATGTGACGGGTATAACTCGGCCACCAATCACGGAGTTTCCAATTACAAGGCCCCCTTCTCTCCTTCGGACCAAAGGGCTTCGAAAAGGTCAATGTGTTCTCATGTAACTCGGCCTGTACCCCGTGCTACACCTTTTGACGCATGTGGAATGAGTTTCATAAGTATGATCTAGCCCAGGATCATGTGTTTATTAGTTGCTACAATGCTCTATTGGGATATTTTCTGAACAATCCATCCGTGGCCGGGTGTTCCCATCATCATACTCTCCACCTATATGATGTACTTTAGTGAACTTGATATTGAACTGATTATGTATACTATGTACATGGAAGTAGCTCGGAGCATGATACCGCATGCAAACGTCATTCAATACACGTACGGTGACGAAATGGACTGAGCCGAGGTGAGCCGAATGGCAATCCCGCATCGCCGCCAAGGTGCCGTGTCTGATCGCCAGCCAATCACAGCGCAGCTATTTCAATCGTTCCGCGACCCACAATCGGCGGAAATTTCATCTCAATCACTCGCTATTGTGCCTGACCTCTTTGACCCGCTTTCCTCACCGTTCACTCCGGAAATCGGTGGTAACCAATTTTCATTCCCTTGCATCTATTTTGATATTCGGCTCCAGCTCCGAGGTAATTCGGCTATCATTTACAATGGGTGCTCTCAGAAAAGTCAAGAACAAGCGCCGCACCAGGTACGTCTACCCCTTGTATCTTTTTTTACTCAGGACGCTGATTGCTAACCCATTCGCAGAGACTATGATCAAGTCGTCGCGGATATCAAAACTCAGGGTCATCTGCAGAAGTACAAGGACTCGAAGGATGTGGAGGATCTGCCTGGTCTAGGCAAGTTCTACTGCACAGAGTGCTCAAAATGGTTTGAGAGCGACTACAACCTCAAGGCACATGCCAAGGGCAAGAACCACAAGCGGAGGTGAGTGTATTGGCGATACTATGTCCTAAGTCGCGTCGCTAACCCGTTACGCTTTTTTTTCTTTCAGACTTCGCATCCTGCGCGAAGAGCCGCACAGCCAACTGCTCGCCGAGCGTGCGATCGGACTGGGTTTGATTGACAACGGCAAGCCTGAAGAGAACCCCGACGTGATGAAGGAGTAAATCGAAGCTTGACCTTTGCCTTCTGGAACAAAAATCAAACCATTGCTACGCGACCACGATCCTCTTTTCAGCAAATCGACATACAAAAGTTTCCATACATCGAGACCTGCTCTCATGTTCATTCTGCTCATGCATCGCGGTGGAGTCTCACGTGAAGCAATTTTTTATATTGCCGATCCTCGCCGTGTTTCCGCTTTTCCCGTTTTGCGGGTGGCTGGAAACCGCCGATAGCCGGCGAAAACAACATCTGGGCGAAATTTACCCCCTTACTAGCAATACTCGCGAGTAATTCCAATAGAAATCCCTCAATACCAAATAGAATCTAACCTAAATCGGTTTTCGGTAAATGCGTAACTTGTATGAATGATTTGTTTTGATATGTTTTTGATATTCTACAACATATTTTTAAGCTTGGCCTCGTCAGGTTGAACAAATTTATAGGCCCGTTACGGGCTCTTGGGTTTTCACTTGTGCGCCCCAGGAATGGTTAAAGCTTTTCATCAACCATTCATATGCCGCCCACTTCATCAGATGTCAGTACTCCGTAGTTGAATAGCCATAAACGAGAGAGAACATACCTGAACAGCATTCACAATGAACGCTCTGACACTGCACACTCCAAAGCCACGATAGAATGCCTTGATGCCCTCGACGCGATATGTGTCTTTCGCGATTTGGAAAGAATTCAGTATCTGGCGCTGTGGTCGTAGTAGAGACTGATTTTCAGTCCTGGGGGAATGGTCTGTAATTGTCTGTGCCTGTAGTCGTGTCTTGATCATATCTAAAGGAAACACCGAGCCCCAAGTAACAACGCCAGCAATGCCACCGCAAAGCAGAATCTTCATAGCAGCCTGGTGTGATCCATCATCATCAGAGGTCATAAATCGTTTGCAAAGTTCGTAGGACCAGAAACTGCATTAGATCAGCACTAAATTCCTCATTTGATACACTGGGGTATCCGGGGGTGGCGTGTCAGTTCCATACTAGAATCCATAGCCAATTGAATCTCTGGCGCTAGTAATCCCGCCCCCAAAGTAGAGGCCCCTCCAACCACGCGTTCGGAAGATATCCTTGGCAACCGTCCACGAGGAAACGTCTGGCCGGCGATCCAGCTGTGCCCGACACTTGATGAACTCCGTTGGCGACGAGATGGTCCAGCTAGCCAGTCCGCCTACGGCCCCAGCAAGCCAAATCTTGTAAGGCGAGACCCCCACGGGATTGGTGGGATCCGTTACGGACGCGTCCAATGCTGCTAAGGATCGGTTGTAGGCAACAAAAAGAATAGCATTGAGAGCTCCATAGCCTAAGATCGGAGCAGCCGCGCCTATAACGATAATCAATTAATTGGACTTGATATGACCAGATCAGTGTAAGACGGACCTCGAACAAGACTGCTTGCTTTTTCGAAGTGGCTCAAATGTGCGGTTGATGGATCGACATGTGAATGTCCCGCCTGTAGCCGGACTTTGATCACATCGAGAGGATTGCCAATGATGATCCCAATGGCTCCACTGATGTAGCCAGCCCAGAAATCTGCGGCCATAAGATCTCAGTCCTCAGGGCCAGATTGAAAACGACAGGGACACACAGACGTCAACGAATCAAGGGGAAACCCCCCCAGATCTTCATGGCGGGGCCTCACGTGGTAGGAGCGGGGGTGATTAAGCACCGGGGCCTGATCTCGGGAGGGCCGAGGCAAATGGACCTTATCCCGAAGGACTCGGTGGAATACCGAACGCCCATACACAACCTTGTGGACTGTCTACGGAGGTCTTACCACCTGGGCAGGAAGCATTACGGCCTGAGTGGCTAAATTTAGTGTATCGGGTTTCCCGACAAGCCGACGCACTCGGCCCTTGGATAGGAAGATCCGAAGCCGACTGCAGACCCGTAGTTTCCCAATACACCATGGAAGCTGGAAAGTTTGGCCTGTATGATATCTCTGTATAAACGTAGTTACCAACCGTTTCTTCCTCCCGCATGCCTGCGAACGATATCAAGATGGGGAATTCCACCGACAGTTTAAGTCAGAAATTGCGCCTGGAGCCTGACAGCTTGAGGCAGTGGAGCTGTTGAGGTAATCGGTCGCAAAATATATAATGGTGTGAAAAGCAACATAGGATTTAGGAGTTGAAGTCACAATTCCTACTAGTCTGTTGACCGCACCTGCCTTTTCAAACCTGGCCATTGCCAGAAAAGTGAACCTTTGCATACACAATCATCGCACTATACAAGACAGGGGCCTGCCGATTTCAGGTTCCTGATATTCACATATTTCTAAGCGAAACCAAGCCTTGGAACAATCTTCACTTCCTTGAAACCTGCAAGCTACCCCCTATGATCCTTACACCTTGCGCTTGATGTGTAATACCGACAGCCAATCTTGTTTATCGATTGCACACCTATCATGATTGTTATACCAGTCAAATTGGGCAAAAGGGGTTTCGGAGATACACACATCCCAGTAGAGAACAACAAGCCAAGGAATTTGATGGTCCAATGCAAGAGGACTGATCTAGAAATGCGAGGCTTGAAATGGGATGACATGACAGGCAAGTATTTCGTGCAAGATAGGCAGTCGGGCAATTTCCCGCCTCTCCAACGCCTCTACCACACGACATCCAATACCATCCATGATCTCAAGCTTGTAGGACCTGTCCGCCATTGGTCCAGTCTCCTCAGAGCTGTTCAAGCAACATGCAAGAGAGAATTGGAGCCACAGAACCATCAATTACAGACGGATTCCCCAGCGAATCATACCACGGGTATGACAAGTTTGGCATAATTTGAATTTATCGCAGTTGCTGACCCCAATCGGTTTTTTGAAGTCCGATGCAATCGAAACGGGAATGGCACGCAGTAACATGGATGGACCAGACTCACCAGGGTACGTCTCATATGGTGGGTGGAATATGACAATGTCCTGAAGCAGGGACTCTAAAAGTGCTTGTTCCTCGTCAATAGATTTAATGTTGATAAAGTTCATCTTTTTAAACGCCTGTTTCAATAATTCTTTGTTCGTATTCCAGAGCTCCTTGAACGTAGCCAACTCAATCCCAAGCTCGGCCTCTAGCTCCCTCGGCTCCAACCTATCTTGTCGCTCCCAGAACCACAGCTGGAAGTCCACCTGAGGATGAAAAAGTGCCAAAAGCTCTGCACATTCACGCGGAATATGGCCGAACAGAATATTGCGCCCACTGACCTGGGATATAGCCTGCGCCATCTGCTCCGCCGTCAGGGCCTTGCCCCCAATGTCACCAGCACGACGCGAGAAAATGCCGCAGCTCTATCAAAGCCGCAACAGAAAAGTGCTCGATATCATCTGGATCAATGAGCGTCATTTTTTGGGGGGGTGTCATAGCGGCGCGGAGAGTATATGCTTCCGTCAGCTCGGGGAATATTTCGCGTTGGTCGCCTGTCGCGATTCAGCCTCGTCACCTCGGAAAGATGGTAGTACGTTTCAAAACACTGCTGTTATGTTCTGAAAGGCGAGCAGCAGTTGTTCAGATTGGTTAAAATTGCCCTCAACTAGCCCGGTGCTGCCATGGTGCAGGTCGAGCGCGGCAGCGCTAGACTTTGTTCGAACTAGGGTTTGGACATTTAGACCTCTGGCGAGGAGGTAGCTGGCTGTCGCTCCACCTTGCTTACCGGTGGCGCCGGTGACGAGTATGGTCGGGGCATGGTAAGGGCCGCGGCTGAGTGGAGGTAATGGTCACGAAGAAATGTAGGCATATCAAATGTATATGTCACGGATTGCTTCCCCAATTAGGAACGCCTATTGATCGCCTGTCCTTTTTTCCTATTTCCCTTCCTTATTAGAAGTTTGTTCTCGCTTTGTAGCATTTCTCAGATTGTCCAGTCGTATTTGCAAGATTATTGTATTCGTCACTTCAGCTCTGGGGCCTAATTACTTGTAGATTTATTACCACAATTTTCAGCCCTGGTGTGACTATGTAGCCTATTTAAGTCACCTTCAATCGTGTCTTAACGCCAGTTCATTCCAAAAAAAACCAGCAATATGACAAACAATATCTATCTCATTACTGGCGCAAGTCGCGGAATTGGTCGTGGACTGGTCGAAAAACTTCTCGCTCGCTCCAACAGCACTGTAGTAGCGGCCGTCCGCGACCCCGCCGGTGCTTCGTCTCAGTCCCTAGAGTCTCTCTATAAGGACGACTCCTCTCGCCTGATCGTGGTGAAGATTGACTCCAAGTCATCCACAGACCCAGCTGCAGCAGTCGAGACCCTCCAGACAGAGCATGGCATCGACCACATAGATGTGGTGATCGCCAACGCTGGCATTTGCGAAGACTTATCACCCATTAGCGAGATATCCGTCCCAGTGATACACGAGCATGTTGAAGTCAATGCCTACGGACCCATATACCTCTTCCAGGCGGTCTACCCCCTTCTCAAGAAGAGCAAGAAGCCCACTTTTGTAGGAGTCGGCAGTCCTCTAGGCAGTATCGCTGGCATGGAGCAGCGACCGTACTCATGTGCCGCGTACGGCTCCAGCAAGGCTATGCTTCACTGGATTGTGCGTAAGATTCACTTTGAGAATGAGGACTTTGTGAGCTTCGTTGCTGATCCTGGGTATGTCTCTGATTACTGGAATGATCCCTGCGTTGCAAAAATATTGATAAAATTGCAGATTTGTCCAAACTGACATGGGAAATACCGGCGCCCGGCTCTTCGGTCTCGAGAAGGCATTTCAGACAATTGAAGAGAGCGTCGACGGTATCGTGAAGACTATGGATGAGGGGACGAGGGAGTCGCTTGGTGCACAGTTCCGCGTGTGGGATGGAACCCAGTTCCCTTGGTAATGGAAAGATGTCAGAGTCATATGTGTATTACCTTTTTTGTTCATTCTCCTGAGTTTGACCCTTCTCTTGCCATCAGCCAGTCCTCTTCCTTTGGACATCACTCACGAAAAGCACCTACTTTTCCTGATTTTCCTTACTGGCACAGAGATATAGCACTTAGAATTAGATAAAGTGAATTGAATGTCGATCTCTTGACACTTTTACTGCTGTTGATACCCTTACAGTAGCTATTTGGGTACAACACAACAAAGCGAGTTTTCGCAACCCTGGCTATCTTAATAAATCAACTTAGGCTTTTAGCTACACATAGGATGTCGGAAATAATTTGTAGACCCTAATAAGAGGCTAGTTAACGCCATCTTATCATACACTCACAGCAAAACGAAACCACACCACTCACTACTGATTGATATCTGCACTACAACTGGAAACGTCCCATTAATACCGAGAAATGATTAGGTAGCCATGTTGTGCTACGCGTCTTCTGATTCACCTGTCTCGGAGACTATATATAACATTCCTCACAACATGGGATATTTCCTGGAGCAATTTCATTGACTCTGATCCGATATTGAGTCAAATAACTTGCCGAACTTTTGGTCATGTGAGTCACTGCCGCTTTCCTCGTCGTGTAGGCCATTCCTGCCTGCGGCCACGCCCCGTAAAAGGCACCGATTGAGCTTGTCACTAATATCTGGCTTGTCTGTTGGACATTTCCTTTCTGATTACCTTTGTCGAGGAGGTCGAGGAGGGCAGTTGCGGTGTAATGAACACCAATTACATTGACATTATAGACTTCTGCCAATTGCTCCATTGACGGACCCCAGATAGCTTCCTGCACCTCTTAAAGGTTAGGTATCTTTCCGTCTTTACCTGGAAGTAATTCGTTGTAATTTGGCCCCTGGATCCCGGAATTGGCAATCACGAGATTGAAGTATCCTGTTTCCGCTGCAATATAAGTGGCCACGCTTTGCAGGCTCGAATTCGGTATCACGTCGCATTGAAGAGGAATTATGTTTCCATGTAGGGCTGTGGCTGCAGCCTCGTCAAGTTTGTCTTTGCGTCGGCCAATGAGATAAACCTTGGCCCCGTAGGCTTGCGTCATCACAAGACCAATATATATATCATTAGGAGTACTTTCATAGCTTCAAATTGTGTAAAGCCTATAGAGGGGAAGAGGGGTACATGCCTGTCCCACCACCTGTGATGACAACAACCAAGCCGCTGCAATCAAAAAGGGTGTTTTGAACGAAAGATGCCATATTCAAGATTAAAGACAAAGGAGCTAGACAAAATCAGCAGCTTAATGCGTGGGTAATGGAAAAAAAGGAAGGAAGAGGTTCAGACTTATATAGAACATAGCAATGCTAGTCAGATGTCATTAGTATGCCATATCCAGGCCAAGCTTGCCGGTTTCTATTACAGATTCTCTGATTCATTTCAAGAAAAGACAATCATAACTTCATCGGTTTCACCCTTCCGAATTATAAGCCAATACGCTAAGCTGCATACGCAAGCCTTCACCAAGTGTCAAGGTATGTGGTACTGGTCGGTTTCGACATTTTGAGTAGTTTCAATGAGTAAGCATTCCAGGGCCGAGGATTCCAGCTTAGAAATCCCGATTCTTGTTCTGATATGCCTTATGCGTTAGTGTTTAGTGTGATTTTATACATTGTATTATGTCAAACCTCGTACTTCAGGGCTACAGTGATGATGTCCCACTGAGACGTCCTCGATTCCTATTGGCTCGCAAATACTTGACTTACTTCCGGCTTCCACCAATCAGCGGGCTCCAACTACGACCTGGAGTGCTTTTGGTAAGCAAATTGATCAGCTCTGGAGGTATGGATTGATCACTTGCCTTCTAGTTAATCAGCATCTGAACTGGAGATTCGATAGTAGTCGATAATGTTCTCAAGGAACAGTATATATAGTCTCTGCCAGCTCGATAGGCAAATTTTCACTCTCATACTACACATATTTCTCTTATAAGCTCAATCATGTCTTCCTATCTCATCACTGGTGCGAGTCGTGGTCTCGGAGTAAGTTAAAGCGTCCTTGATTGGTCTTGTTTACAAACTAACCTAAATAGTTCGAATTCGTTCGGCATCTTGCTCAGAATCCGAAAAATACTGTCATTGGCCTCGTCCGGAACAAGGCTGCAGCTGATTTAAAGGCCAAGGAAGAGGGACTGCATAATTTCCACATGGTCGAGGCTCAGTATACTGACCTGGTGTCCTTGAAGGTGCGCAAACTTAACCGATAAACGATGAATATCACACTCATTTCATTTAGAAAGCCGCAGAAGTAGTCAAAAGTATCACTGGAGGGGCTCTGGACTATCTGATCAACAATGCCGCCGTCGTCTCGCGCGTCACCGGGTTTAAAACTCTGGGAGACTTGTACGTATTGAAAGTTCAGTCGAACAAAAGCATACTGACCATAAATAGTGACGATGATTTCGAGCCTTTGGAAAGAGACATATTGGAATCGCTGGAAGTCAACCTCATAGGCGTCATCAAGACAATAAATGCCTTTGTAACTCTCATTCAAAATGGCAAGGGCAAAAAGGTTATTGCTCTCTCCACTGGTATGGCTGATCTCTTCCTGATCAATGCGACCGAACTCGCTTTCGCCGCCCCGTACGCTATCAGCAAGGGCGCCTTGAATGTCGCCATTGCTAAGTACAACGCACTTTACAAACAGGAGGGCATTCTCTTCCTTGCCATTAGTCCTGGATATGTGTCGACTGAGGGGAACACAGGTATGTTCAAATTAGTTGTCGGATATTGTCATGGAGGTATATACTAAAGCCTATTTTGCAGTTGCACCGCCACCAGAAGATGCTGAAAAGGTAGCTACTCTTGTGGGCAAGTTCATCGAGTATGCGCCACACTTTAAGAGCCCTCTGACACCGGAGGAGTCGGTTACTGCTGTCCTTTCTGTGATGGATAAAGCCTCAATTGCGAACGGAGATGGGGGTGCGTTCATTTCCCACTTAGGGAATAAACAGTGGTTGTAAGTGGGCCTTAGGTGAAGCTGGAAGAGACTTAAATATCTCGTAAATCAAGACAATTTCGTTGAAAATGTTGTGACATTTCAATGGTGATGTTGTATCATGTTCCTTGAATATCTCTAGCCAATGGTAGCGGCCGGGCGCGTAATCCGGTAAACATCGCCGACGTCTCGAGATATTCTTTCCTTCCCATTCATTTCATCGCAACTCACACTGTTAATGATTCCTCATATCTCATCTGACTGGAACTGTGCTTTGCATCAGAATGTATACAACAAAGCCCAGAGCTTCCTATCGTGTCGGGCATCCATCAAGGCGAGGATGTTGGACATGTCGTGGTAGGATAGAACATCTTTTTGATATAAAAAGCAACGTAATGTGACAAAGATTCTGACCTCCCTACAGATCGAAAAGTATCCTGTGACCTGAGGCGCCCGGGGTGCCGAAACTGCGCAGGATTGAGTCTCAAGTGTCAAGGATATGGCCTGCGTTTGAGCTGGCCAGCACATGATTCCCGAAGATTCATTCAACATTCTGTTCAAAATGCTTCGAATGTTGTGTCTGATGGATCTAAAAACTTGCATTTTATCAACACATTGATGGTAGATGTCGAATTTCTTTACCTACCTCCTAAAAGCGTAGGTCAGTTCTTCAATTGGGTTGGATCCTTCTTTACAAACTGACCTTAGCTTGTGTTGTTGACTTCCTTGGATATTTCTTTCTCAGGGAAATTACCAATTCACAACGCATATATTTTCCCACTATCGAACTTGGCAAAAGCACCAGTGCGAGGTGATGGACACCACCTGATGACATTTTGTATGGGACAACCATGTTTTCACAGAGAAGATTACACTTACTAACCCTCTTTTCTACAGTTATGACAACAGTAGTCAGTTCATTAACTTCAATCCGAACCGATGGTCATAAGATTTGGAAACTATTGTTTCAGCTTTCATTTTCCGACGACTCACCGGCCTCACTGGCCGTCCTACGGGCAATGCTATCGGTGGCATCATTGTATCGTTATGGCCATGGCGAAGAGCCCTTACGGCTGAAGACATTAGCTCTGGAGTCTTTAAGCACATCCATAAACGGACACGTTACTGGAACAACAGAAATTTACCAGCATGCTGCCGTGGGAATGTTACTCTGTGCTTTTGAGGTATCTTTCTTGCTCCCGTCGCCTGATACATTGCTTATAGAATTAGATTTTTCAACCCTCGGAGAGCTCTTTTCAATGGCCGTTATATGTTTCAGGAGCTAAAAGAATGCTCCATGTGATTTGCGATGGTGGACATCCCAAGGTGATGGATGCTGATTTGCTTATACTTTGGGTGCACTACCACGACATTCTGGGAAAGTTCACCTCCAGACATTGGATGGTCCAATCAGCGGAAAGTTCCTCCATCTTCAAAATACCGGGCATGACATCCACTCTGGCTTCAGTAGCGCATGACCAGGTAGGCTTTGATATCTCCCTCATTCTTAGATTCCATGCTAACAGAAGTGACAGGTTTTGGGCATATTTGGGTGCTCTTTGGAAATGATCAACCTCATTGCTAGAATAGCGGAAATCAAGCCTGACAGTCAACCGCCCGAGAATACTCAATATACCAAGCTAGAAATGCTGAATTCCATTGAATACGATTTGATGGTGCTCAAACAAGATACCACACACCTCATTGGAGCGAATTCCGCAGAAGAAGTCGAACACGGAAGCAAAATATCAGAGCTCTATCGACTGGCAGCACTGATCTATTTCGAACGTGTGCTGAAACAATCCTCAACCTGTGGGCGAGTGGAAAGGTGGTCTGCTGAAGCTTTTGAAATCATTCAGGCTTTGGACATATGCGAGCGACCATTCCCACTGTTTTTTGTAGCCTGCGAAGCACATACTGATACGCAAAGGGAGGTAATACTTTGTCTTTTGCGACGAACAATGCGAATTTCAAGTCAGCAGAGATTGCATATCGTGCAAGGAATGATTGAATCGATGTGGGTGCAATATGATCTGTCTTCAGATCAGGGAGGAGCGAACTATGTTGATGCGTTGAACACCATCATATCTTCGAACGAACTGCTGCCAACGTTAGCCTAATAATTAGAACCGGATTGAGAAACCTGACAACTTATTGAGTTGGAAGGATAATCCATTCGCGATAGCTAGGGGTAGCAACCAATTCTTCTAAAAAAATCCAGTGTATGAAGTTGACCGCGTAGCAGGGGACCTACGGGCATGGTATGCATTGGTTATAATCTATTCTATGACCGCACTCATCAAGTCGTTCCAACAGCCTCGCGCGGAGGCTGCACTAGGAATACAGGAAGGGATAGAGAGGCATGAACGTGAAAAAATAGTTTTCCGCCTAGTAGGACAGCAACCACATGAATCAGCCTTTTTGATCAACTTCACCAAACCGCTTCCTTATTCGATCCTTATACTCGGCTTCTTGCTCCACCTTCTTCTGGATAAAACTCTCAGCTCCTACAGACCAATATGGACTGACAGTTCGATCAAATACTCGCTGGGTGCAGTGCTCCTCACAGAACATGCGTTGAATATGCTCATTGAACACCCGAAGGAGACCTTTCGGGCTATTGACAGCCTGGAAGTACCAGAAGCCACCTCTCTCCCAGGATTTCCGCATGATCTCGGCCTGAGAAAAAGCCGAAGTCTGGACTTCTTTTTCCTGTACTTCAAAAGCATTGATGAATTCAGTCATAGCTTCTTGGAAAGTATCGAGATTTTCTCCGTGTTCAATATCGTCAATAGGTCGACCAGTCAGCCAGTAAGGAGGTGTTTGTAACTCAATGGGAAAAGAACATGCCCATTCCAAGTCGATCAAGGACGTGATATGCCAATCTTTATCAACGAAGATATTACTTGCGTGGAGATCAGTGAGTGTAAGCACGAATGGTCCATCACGGTATTGACGGGAAATGAATTGAGGTAGAAGAGCACGCATCATGGTTAAAGCCGCAAATTGTTCCTGTCCATCATTCAGATTATGAATCGCATTTGGCTGATGGTGAATGCGGTTGTCGTGAAGCTGCAAAAGATCCAAAATATAAGGCTCCACCGAATGATACGTACAATTCCTTGGTATCGTGGGTATACCTTCATTTTCGAATGTCTGGAGTCGTAATGTCAGGGGTCGATTCTTCAACTTAATCAAGCCATCGTCGTCCAATGTCAAGGATCCGATTCGCGGTAATTTGATGCGATTAAGTGAAAGCATGATCTTCGAAAGATCACCGAAAAGAGTTTGCCTTCGTGTTTTGTCGCTTAGGAGGTGATCTGCCCAGGTACTGGACAGCATTTGACCCTCCCTCACAAAACTGATGATCATGTATCCAGTTTTGAGCATATCTCTATCCTTAGTACCAATATACGGACAGGCTTTTGGAAACCCGAACCATGACCGTATGGTCTGCATGATGCGCCAACGCCACCGAGAAGAGAACCCGATGCAGTTCTCTCTAGCGAACTAAAAAGAGCAAGGTCAATATTTTGAGGAAAATAGAGATTGTAGGCTCACATACCGTTTGTCCGTTTGGAAATGCAAATCCATAGAGAGTAGGAATTGGAACATCCGGACAATTTTCACGTATCCAGATGTATGTGGCAACTTCGCAACGCAACTTTTCATTGACATTTCCGGGGCTAATCTGTTCTCCAACTTTGTAAGGAAGCGGAATTCGAATAAGGACACACTCGTCTGATGGCAGATTGATATAGACTGGAATGCAGATATTGTAACTCCCACATAACCAATCGGCTTCGTCGGCAACTTGACAATGCTTTGCACCGAGATGAAATAAAACTACTCTTTCAATTTCACTTCTGTGGGCAAGTAGAAATGACCAGAACTGCTTCTGTTTCTGCGGGTAGCCTAAGCGGTGCAGGATGTTGTCGTCGTCGCTTAGAGCGTCTTCTAGTGTGATACTGTTCCCTCTTAGCAAAGGAAGGCTTGGCATTTTGAGTGATCCATCAACCCGAATGATACAGTGAGAGGTTACCTAGGTACCGGCAGATGTTCAGATATAGAAGGGGCTCCACGTGACCTGAACATAAAGGTGAGCTCGGGCCACCTTACCCCATTGGGCGGTTTATTTTGGGACGCGGCAGTTTGGTGTTCGGGAGCCTCAGGAAACACGCGACGCGTCGACAGCACTTGCCTCACCACAACTTTGGGATCACTGTACAGCAGGAGCTTGGGGTATTTGTTTTATCTTTTTTGCACTAATGTAAGTCCTCTCAAGTCTTTTTCGAGTATCTTAGCTGACTGACATGCCTGGAAGGTATCGACAACGCCCGACCGGTGGCGACGACAACGTCAAGACTCCGTTACAACCGAAATCCGTGAACTCTCAAAACTCCATTGACCGACTTGTTAGGCCATTCAAATGTCCGGGAACTGCGACACCGACTCGGGCATCCGAAAAACCATCAAGAAAGAGACGCAAAGTCAATTATGCCAACGCCGATGGGACTGTGGAAGATGGAGAGGAGAAGCCATACACGAATGATGACCGGCTCGCTTTGGAAACAAGAGAATGTAATAAATTCCCCGCATATAAACCGAAGGACAAAGATGTGGCGTTCAGGTCACGATTTCAGGTGCCCTTTATCAACAAAGCAACTGGCGAGTACAGTTCCAGTCGGGTGGCTCCCACGTTGGGGATGCGACGAGGCGCAACATTCGTGGTCAAACCACTACATGACCCCAGTGGAGAATTTGCGATTGTTTTATACGACCCTACAGTGGACGATGTTGCGGAGGAACCTGCACCCAAAAGCCTAGAAGCACCAACGGAGGATACGCCAAAATTGGACGAGCCAATTATGCATAAAAGTCTAGCAGACATTCTGGGGCTCAAAAAGAAGGTGGAAGAAAGGCCAAAGGTGCCTGTCGTGATCGATCCGAGACTGTGCAAAGTGCTTCGGCCTCATCAAGTTGAGGGTGTGAAGGTAGTGTGCTCCGAGATAAGATTATGGGCATGAAAGCGAGCTCACACTACTTTTACATATAGTTCCTTTATAGATGTGTTACTGGGCTGGTTGACAAGAACGCGAATGGGTGCATCATGGCAGACGGTATGGGACTTGGTAAAACAGTGAGTCTTGCCACCCCGACTTTCATATCCTCATTCTAATGAACACAGCTTCAATGCATCGCATTGATGTGGACGCTACTTAAGCAATCCTCAGAGGCCGGAAAAACCACAATACAAAAATGCGTCATTGCATGCCCATCAAGTTTGGTCGGTAATTGGGCCAACGAATTGGGTGAGTTACGCGTGATACCCTACTTATTATTAGCTCGACTGACAATATCAGTAAAATGGCTTGGAAAAGACGCCACCACACCATTTGCAATCGATGGAAAGGCCACAAAAGCAGAGTTGATAACGCAGATCAAGCAGTGGGCCATTGCCTCAGGGCGTGGAATCGTCAGGCCGGTCCTTATTGTGTCCTATGAGACACTCCGTATGTATGCGGATACTCTGAATGACACCCCGATTGGACTTCTTCTCTGTGACGAAGGCCATCGACTAAAAAACAAGGAAAGCTTGACATGGACTGCTTTGAATCAACTCAATGTTACTCGTCGAGTTATTCTTTCTGGAACGCCTATTCAGAATGACCTGTCCGAGTACTTCGCTCTTCTTCACTTCGCCAACCCGAATCTCCTCGGTTCCCAGGCCGAATTCCGGAAAAGATTCGAACTGCCAATTTTGCGAGGCCGGGATGCCCTAGGCACAGATGAGGAAAAGAAGCTAGGGGATGAACGATTACAGGAGCTCTCTGGGATTGTCAACAAGTTCATCATCCGCCGAACCAATGAGCTCCTTTCAAAATACTTGCCCGTCAAATATGAACATGTTGTGTTCTGCAACATGTCAGAGTTCCAACGTGGTCTGTACAACCATTTCATCAAGAGCCCGGAGATCCAAAGCCTTCTTCGCGGAAAGGGAAGTCAACCCCTCAAAGCAATCGGTATTTTGAAAAAACTCTGCAATCACCCAGACCTGCTTGATCTAGCAAACGACCTTCCAGGATGCGAGCATACATTCCCCGAGGACTATTCACCACCCGATACTCGGGGCCGCGATAGAGAGATCAAGAGTTGGTACTCTGGCAAGATGATGGTGCTCGACCGCATGCTAGCCCGAATCCGACAAGACACAAACGACAAAATCGTCCTCATCAGCAATTACACACAAACCCTAGATCTGTTCGAAAAGCTCTGCCGGTCGCGGGGGTACGGCTCCTTGCGTCTCGACGGCACCATGAACATCAAAAAGCGCACAAAGCTAGTCGACAGGTTCAATGACCCAGACGGCCGGGAATTTATATTCCTCCTGAGTAGCAAGGCCGGCGGGTGTGGACTGAATCTGATCGGTGCCAACCGGCTGGTACTATTCGATCCAGACTGGAATCCAGCCGCCGACCAGCAAGCACTAGCACGAGTGTGGCGAGACGGACAGAAGAAAGATTGTTTCGTCTACCGGTTCATTGCGACGGGCTCAATCGAAGAGAAGATCTTCCAGCGTCAGTCTCACAAACAGTCTCTCTCGTCGTGTGTCGTGGACTCTGCCGAAGATGTCGAGCGTCATTTCTCCCTCGACTCCCTGCGAGAACTCTTCCAGTTCAAACCAGATACTCGGAGTGACACCCATGACACTTTCAAGTGCAAACGGTGTCGGCCCGACGGCTTGCAATATATCAAGGCCCCCGCTATGTTGTATGGTGATACTAGTTCGTGGAACCATTTTGTCAATACTGGCGAGAAAGGGCCGCTCAATCAGATCCAGGATCTGCTCCTCCGTCAAGAGTCTGGGGAAAATGACGTTTCGGCTATTTTCCAGTATATTAGTCACTGATGCAATTATTTGGCATACTTGGGCAGGTTTGGAGTTTATTACAGTATTGGGATGAATTGTATCTTTGAAAGCGTATTCATTTGGGAAGCGGACAGTTATGACCATAGAACGAATTAAATGTGTTTTTTTGTATCACCAAGAGTTAGCCCATCTAGACGAAGAATGAAGAGTGACAATACCATATCCAAGGATAATAAACGAACGTGAAAGCGTCCAGTCAATGGATACATTTGAGAGATTAAGAAATATGATGTTATTCACAGATGAACATTGAATGACGCCGGGTATGATCACCACGAAACGATCCAGCCAAGTACAAGACACAAGAGGAAAGGTCTATGCAGGAGGCAAGGCCCAGCTCTAGCTACATAGGTAACTATTTCTTGGACTTCCGTCCTCCAATACCCAGTCGGCCCAAATTAGGGAGACTCGACTTGTGTTTATGAGATGGCGCGTTCTTCGGCGTACTGTTATCCAACCCACGCCCAGTGGTGGTGCCACCGGCACCAGGACCAAGACCTCCCAGGCCAGCATTTCCAGCAGCGTTACTAGGGCCTGGAGCGCCGCGCGGGGCATCGGGTAGATTAGATCGGTCCTTGGGACGGTCTGCAGCAGCGACAGAGAGAGCAGCTGTAAGAGAGGGGTTGGCCAGGGGACCAGACTGGTCGAAAGACTGGCGGGTGGAGCTCTGGGATCGACGTGCTCGTTCCTGAACGGCCTTGAATTTGTCAAGGAGCTCGACCCAGCGGATGGAGTTCTCGTCACGGGATTTCAGGCGGGTACCTGTGGAACGGTCGAAAGATGGAGCCGTTTGAGTAGTGCTAGGGGAGTTCGTCTCAGTAAACCTTGGGGTGGAATGCGGGGGGCAGGGGCCATACCTGCGGGGTCCGCCGTGGAGGAAGCCAATGTTGCTGACGCTGTTCAAACGGTTCTTGAGGGCGGCAAAGGCGGAGCTCTGGGGGAGAAGCATGAGGACGCCGTAGAGACATTTGTAAAGGAAGGGGTATTTTTCGGGTTCAAGGAGTTGGAGGCGGAGGTCTGTTCAAATTAGCTTTTGGCCTCTGAGATTTGGATTGTGCGATGGGAAAAACGGACATGTGAACACTGGCGATTCTAGCAGTTGCACCAGTTTGTCGATTTGAATTAGCATATTAACTGTCATTTCCAATTCGGCACTGCGGATGGTTTTGTCAGCAGAGTATTCATGAGAGACGGAGCCGGTATACTGACAAGATCTGGAGGAGATTGTATGCCTGCTCGTAGGCTTGGGCGAGAAGACAGAGGGAAAACGTGGAGACAGCGTTGTGGCACCATGATCTGAAAAGGCCAACAAAGAACATTTGACCGTCCTAGATGATTATTTAGTCTCGACGATGTAAGACAAGCTGTCCGGGGAGATTACTTTGGAGTCAAGATTCCTCAAGCGCTTTCTCAATTCTGAGAGTTCGGGCGCGGTGATGAGGTTGTTGTTCAAGTTTTGGACCATGATACTGGCAAACTCAAGATCCTAACGATACGTTAGCATATAATACGCCCAAAGTGTGCAATG